AAAAAAAAAAAAATAAATAAAATAAAATAAAATAAAATAAAAATGAAAACTGTATGACCTACCCAGGTATGGTGGTACATTCCTATAACCCTAGCATGTAGGAGTTAAAGCCAACCTAGGTAACAGCAAGACCCTGTGTAAAACAAAAGGGGGGGGGGACTCCAGCAGTGTCCCCAAAGCAGGTTTCCCTTTCCTACCCACCTCAGCACATGGATTGATGGTGCAAGAACACTTGCTTCACTTGTTTCTCCCTCCACGCTGATGAATTGGATGTTACTGGCTGAAAGCACGTGGGGCTCTTTCCAAAATACCAAAGTTGAAGTTTTGGGGATCAGCTCTCCTGAGGGTCAGCTTGGCTTTAAACACTGCTCTTCAGTCATATATCTGTTATCAGTTCTGCCCCCACCTTTTTTTTTTTTTTTTTTTGAGACAGGGTTTCTCTGTGTAGTTTTGGTGCCTGTCCTGGATCTCGCTCTGTAGACCAAGCTGGCCTCAAACTCACAGAGATCCACCTGGCTCTGCCTCCCGAGTGCTGGGATTAAAGGCGTGCACCACCACAGCATGGCTTCTATTTTTTTATTTTTTAGTTTTTTTGAAAGCCCCCACCTCTTTTGAGACATGCATGTTGTCTATGTAGCCCAGGCTGGCCTCAGACGCACAGTCTTACCTACCTCAGCCTTCTGAGTGCTGGGATGATAGGTATATACCTGCACCACAGCTACCCTTTTGTTCTCATCACTGTGCTTCTTAGGGTTATTGTTATAGGCAACATGTACACATAGCTTACATCCTGAGGTTCAGTTTGAGTCCTACTGTAATTGCTCTTGACTGCAGTTTAGTTTTGTTTGTAGAAGGGAATGGAAGCAAGAGCTTAGAGAAGGTGGTATCAGCAAGGAGAGGGACTGAGGTAAGCGGTCCTCGGCCAGCAGAGAAGCTTCTGAGTGGGATGAGGTGAAAGGGGAGGAACCAACTACATTTGGGCCTACCCTCAACACGTCTTTCTGAAGTGCCAGGTCTCTTCTTTGTCTCCCTCGAATTATTTTAGACACGTTGGTCCCACATACTCCTTTCCTTTTAGTAATATAAACCAGTTGTGTGTTTTGGGGTTTTCTCCCTGTAGTGCTGGGGATAAGCCCAAGGGTTCACATGTTAGACAAGTGCTCTACCACCATGCTATATCCTCAGCCACCCTCCCCCTTTTAAATTATTTTTTGAAATTAAAGATAATTCCAACATTTCTTGTTTTCCTCCGTTCAAACAACCCCATATACCCCTCCCTACTCTCCTTCAGATTCATGGTCTCGTTGTTACTGTGTGTGTAATGTGACTTGTATGGATGTTTTCGGGGCTGACAACTGGCACTGGACAACCAATCGGTGTGCTCTTTTCTGGGGATGACTACTTCAGCTGCTTTCAGCTTTCTCGGTTGCCTATAGTTCTTCAGTAGGGCTGAGGTTTTGTGGACTTTCCGTTCACCTTGGCATGTCCATTGGTGTCGTCTTTGTTCGGCTTATGTTTAAGCAGTCGTGTTGCTAAGACTTGATGGGTAGACATTTTAAGAAAATACCATGTAAAACTGCCATCGTGGAGCATTAAGGAGCCTAGTTTTCACAGATGCCTTTATTCCATATCAAGCTGCTCTAAGAACTCATCAGAATGGTTTCAGTAAGGATTCTGTGTTCTGATAGGTAGGCAGCAAACTGAGCACACACAGCATTCCAAATTAAATACAAGTCAGAGAACAGAAGCCACGCAGTTGATGTGTAAGTTTGGTGTGCATGTTCACATGTGTGTTGTGTCAAAAACCAAGGTTGATGATAGGTGTCTTCCTCCTGCCTTACCTAATGAGGCTTGCTATTTCAGCTCATCTAGCTGGCCAGCTTGTTGGGGTAATTTCCTGTCTTTTGTGTTCTGGGTGACTCATGAGCCCTTGGGGCTGGGGATAAAGCTCAGTGGTAGAACACTTGCCCAGAATGCACAAGACTCTGGGTTCTGTGTCCAGCACTGTCTCCAGCCATTGTCTCCCAGTACCTCTAATTCAGCTACTTCAGTCTCTTCACTGTATCCCCTAGACAGTCCCAACAGTGAGCCCAGCAGGAGGTTCAGGGAGACCTTTAAAGTCTATATGACGGTATCCAATAACACGAGCTAACCTGTGCTGATATACCAACGACATGTCACCCTCCAGGTGTTCTTGTTAAAATCCTGTAAGCAGACTGATGGTGCAGGAGTGAGTCTACAAGGTGGCGCTGCCTGTCAATGTGAGCTTCTAATTGTCATGGGAAAGGGCAACATGACTATTCTAAATCAAAGACCAGGGAGACGGTAACTTTGGGAAACATGGAGCTGGAAAGCACTAGGAAGACATTTGGGGATAACTGGACTGTATGTATGTGATAAGACAATGTTAGGTTTCTTAGGTACAGCAGGTAGAATAACCGTGTTGCCTGGAAATAGAAAATATTTAGGAATGAAGCATGTCAGCAGCTGACTTTGAAATGATTCAGGAAAAAAAAATCAAAATGCTAACTGGTGACTAGCTAGGGTGAGCCCTTGTTCATATTATTCTTTCAACTGTCAAATTCGTCAAAAGTTGGGAGAATGTGTCAATATGAATTTGAAAAGGAATATACTGAGGACTTGTAATTGGATGTCCAGCAAGGTCTCATGAACTGTGAATCACAGGCTAGCCTAAAACAAACTGTCCCAAAAGTTAATAAACTCTGGGTGGGGTTGGTTGAATAAAAACAAATCTGTAGAATATGGAAAAGTTTAAGTGAAAATAAACACACATGCCTATAGTTCCAGTACTTGGGAGAAGGAGGCGAAAGGATTGGGGGTTCAAGATTACCCCTGGCTACACAGCACCCTATCTCAAAACAACAAAGTGAAGATAAGCAGCATGATCTCACTTCTATAACTCATACCATAATGAAAAAAAAAGGTACAAAGTGAATAAATAATGGTCATTACCAAGATACATCAGAAAGATGTGTGGTTAACAAGTAAATCTTCAAGTGTTGTTAATAAATGAAGAATGAAAGTATCATAAAGGGTATGAAAACTGACAGTAGTCCAGCCAAGACTGAGGAGCTGGTGCTTGGGAAAGGCTTTTTAGGCTGTGTAGCAGCCACATAGGAAGGGCAGCACACAAAACACAGTAGGAGCAGTAGTGAATGCAAAGCCAGTGGTTGCCCCATGTGGCACACCTCAGCTACCTAAGAATTTCAAAGCCAACCAGGGCCACATGAAACTGTCTCAAAATAAGATACAGTGCTGGGACTAAAGGCGTGCGCCACCAATGGTGTGCGCCTTTAATCCCAGCACTTGGGAGGCAGAGGCTGGTGGATCTCTGTGAGTTCGAGGCCAGCCTGGTCTACAAAGCGAGTTCCAGGACAGCCAGGGCTGTTACAAAGAGAAACCCTGTCTTGAAAAATCTAAAAATAATAACAACAAAAATAGGTGAGATATCAGCCTCTGGTTTAGGAAACCTGTAGTGCATGAACTAGATGGTCACCTGTGGTTAAAGTGGTCAGCCTTAGACCACCAGAAACCTTATGGTCTAAGGAACTGTTGGCCACTATGGGATTTTCTGCAGGGCAGAGACACCCAGGGTATACTTAAGAGGATGAACCTGATCGTTACTTCAAGACCTCATAAGGGAAAAAAAGATTTGGAGACTGGGATAAAGTAATGGATGGAGAAGGTTCCGAGTAACTTGATTTCAGCTGTTCACACAGGTGAGCTGCTACTGAAACCAGGAATAAAATGAGGGTCAGATTTTAAGGAGTGTCATAATTTCCAATTGGGACATGGTGAATTTGAGGGGCTTGTGGGATATCCAAGCTGGAAACAGATAAACAAGATGAGCAAAAGCATAAGAAAAATGCCATGCTTGCTGGGCGATGGTAGCGCACACCTTTAATCCCAGCACTTGGGAGGCAGGGGCAGGCGGATCTCTGAGCTTGAGGCCACCCTGGTCTACAGAGCAAGTTCCAGGACAGGCTCCAAAGCAACAACAATAAAGAAAAAAGAAGAAAAAAAAAGAAAAAGAAAAAATGCCATGCTAGAGCCTGGACTCACAATCAAGGGCCTGTGATGTGCCTCCTCACTCTACCAAGTGAGTTAAAGCTGACTTTTATGTTCCTAGGATGGGTCCTCATGTGCTGAAGCCTACAGGAATTCTGTTCCTTCAGCAATAGATCAGCTGGGGTTGAGTAGACAGGGAAACAGACACACACCTATCACTTGAAATTTCTTTATCAAGTGCAGCATATATGACTTTGAGTTTTTAAAATAATAAAGCCAAATGAGCAAATTTCAGACTTTTATTAACAGTAAGTCCAATGAATAAATGCCGAGATCAAAGTTTAAGCAAGCAATTCTCAACATGCATCAGTGAAATCAGGGAGGGGACAATGAAGCAAAATAGGCAAGAACCACTTTCCTTTAGTCCTAAATAGTCAGGTGAAGGGTGCAGACTTCAGCACTGGGCAAATCTGGGTTCTGAATC